CGGGGGCCCAGCAGCTTCTCCCTTCATGCAGCACCCGCGGAGGCTCCGGGGGCGCGGAAAGGTAGCAAGGACGAGCGCTGCCGCTTCTCAGCTTGCGGCTCATACCCCGGCGGAGGGGCTGAGGAGCAACGCCCGGTGCCGTGTTCCTGCCCGAAGGGAGACGCTCACCGCCGCGCCTGCCGCTAAGACAGACAGGACGTGGGTGTGCCAAGGTGTTCGTGGGGATCGGGGCGGACCCTTGGGAGGTGCAAAGCCTGCCAGGACCCGAACCCTCGGGCCCGGCCCGATGTGCTCAGCACGGCAGGCACTGGGACAGTCAGTGAGCCGAGACTGGCATCCTGTCGCGCTAAGTGCAGAGCGTCGCAGGGAGTCGTGCGCTTTGCAGCCCCTCCGGGGTGAGGGACTGCCCCCGCTTCCCGTCCCAGTTCCGGCCCTAAGAGACCTTGAGGGGAAACCTATCTATCAATGGCAAGTGATTGGTGGCGGCGGGCCAGGCGCGCTTCTTACCCTAGAAAAGAAGAGCCTCTGTGGACTCTCAATGGTGCTGGAGGGCCCCCGCCGACAGAGGAGATCTATACCGTCTTCTCGAGCCAGGGTCGGGCCCTATCTCTTAATTAGGGCTCGGTTTACTTGGCCGGGGCGTGCATAGGGCTGAGCATCCCAGCAGAGTCAGGGCAGAGCGTGCTCCAGGTCCCTTCAGTTTGCACCCTCTCCTTGTTCCCCCGGCGAGGGGCTTTGCGTGGTCCTGCGGAGTGTCAGGAGTGGGTGCTGATGGCCCAGACTCCTCAGGCAGCCCTGCATGGCCCCATGTCCCTCCCATCTCTGGACCTTTGGCGAGTCTTGGTTCTCGTGAAGGTGGCTGCCAACTGAATTTGGCTCGTGGTCATTGACTCTGAGGGAAAGGCGATGCGCTTTTGGTGTATCGTTCCTTGTCGTCTACCCCACCTTTCCCCTCCCCCTTAACACTTGTTAGTGCCCTAATAACGAAGTGTCGAGCGCTGTTCATACATTTTCATTACTGGAGAGTGGTGCAAGGAGATGTCCTTCCCGAGGGCAAAACGGGGCTAGGTGAGACATCCGTGCTGGACAAATATTGAAAGAAGGGAGTTTGCGACACAGGCGGTAGTGGCCCAGGTGTGGTGCAGCGGCCCTGGCTCCGCTTGTACATGTTCCTAGTTTTTGCAGATTTCCTTTTGTAATATCTTAAGCAATCCGAGAGAAACCTTCCCGCACCTCAGGTGGTTCCTTCGAGGACGGTGCTTATTTCCCAGAGGCAGATGTACAAAACTGGACTCGTTCATCTTTAAAGCCATCACTGCCGCAGGGGCGAGGGCTGAGTTCGGCTCAGCGAGGGGATTCGCTTCTGCCGGGCGTCACATCGAGCGCTGAGGAGCCAAGAGGGAAGTTTCGTTGTCTGCGCAACCCAGCGCACAGGCAGAACGTTACCCGTGCCTGTAGTGGAGTTCTCCCTCCATCGCTTTCCTCCCTGGGGTACTACTCTCAAATTTTCCAATGATCTGTTAGATCTGACCAGTTTCAAGACAAGCTCTGAGCCCCCAACAGTTTGGAAACAGTGGGTTCTCAAAATATCCCTCCGCTTCCTTTTGCAGCGCTCTCCCTTCGCCGTCGGTCCTGACGGAGCTGCCCCTCAGGGACAGACAGACCGCACAGACTGACTTCCCAGACTACCTGCCTGAGTTTTATGGCCCGATGGTGTCGTGCCACCTCTAGTGTGACATTCGCATCCTAATGCTGCAGAGCTCACCCCGGCTGCGCGGTACTGTGGTGCGCCAGAGCTGAACAGGCACCGGCAGCCCTGGGAAAGGGGGGAAGACTGGCATGATAAATGAATCGGGCTCCCCAGTCTCTCTGGATCAGCAGGGGAGATCCTCTTCTCCTCTTTCTTACCCCTTAAGACCTTCAGTTAAGGCTGAAGATGTTTCACCACTGCGTTAACGAGAGGTACCCTGGCTCCTTGTCACGCTCTCGAGGACTGGGACATACCGTGGTCAAACTGCTGCACTGGGAGAAGTCTGGTGGTAGAGGTTCTGGAGGAAAGAGCCTGTTTGGGGGGTGTTACTCCTCTTCAGGATCTTGTGGCACGTAGCCTGTCTGACCTGGGGGAGACGTTGCAAAGTGGGCTATGAGTGTATGTATGTGGGTCTGCGTGTCTCGAGCTGGAACAGTGGTGTCAGGGGCCACTCGACATGGTTTGCTCATCGGCTTTCAAGTGTCTGGTCCAGCCAGAATGTGACACGAGCAAGGACTCGCCACCCCATGGGTGATGACTCCTTGGGCATGCAAAGGAGGGAACCGAGCCAGCTCTGTGGCCAGGAAATTCCCCCGAAATCACCTCAGTGTTGCAAGGGGATTGGCTTTCTTCATTTTCCGTGTGTTTTGCGGTAGGTGTGACATGGATTTGAGAGGGATGCACGGTATGTGTTAGATTTATACTTGTGCTTCCGGCTATGGTTCTTCACCCGTAGCAATCATTCCCTGGCTGCACTAAAGTCCATTTGCTTTTGAAAAAGGAGATTCTTCTGCGTTGCGCGGGGCCAAGGTGGGGAAGGTCCAGGCTCCCGTTCAGGTGTGTCCCAGGGGACAAGAGGGACCGCGAGCTCAGCCCCTGTTCCCCCGGGTCTGCACAGGCCTGGAGCCGGGGTTGCTGGAGGTGACACGAACCAGGGGCGCGGGAACCTCACCTCGGCAGAGCAGCACAGCTGTGGGACCGGCTGTGGATGAGCTGGCGGCTCCTGGGGGCCGTGGGCTCTCCCGGGCTACCCGGCTTCTCCACCCGCCACAGCAGCCTCAAAGGCTGGGCAGGACAGGTCCCTGCCCTCCCACCAGCCCCTCACACTCGGCTGCCGTGGGGTCGCCAAGCATTTAGCCCACCCAGCGCTGAGAAGGGCAAAGGAGGAACAGGGATGCTCGCAGTGTAAGGGGGGGCAGCGCGGCCCCCCGGGGATCCCCGGGGCGGGGAAGGGAAAACATCTCGATTCGTGAGGTGCCGAAGCTGTGCTTGCTCTCCCAGGTGGGTCTTTCGGCTCAACGGGACAGGGCTGCTCGGGAGGAGTGAGCGGAGAGCGAGCGACGCCTCTGCCAAGCCACGGCTGGGAACGCCGAGGGACATCTTGGGCGCCGTGCCCAGCGCCACTCGGAGCGGTCCCCACCAGGTGCCGGTGGGCAGCGAACTGGGCGGAAACCAGCCGTGTGCCCCGGCCACATGGAATGCCAGCAGCAGCTCTGAGCGGTATGAACACGATCACAGCGCAAGGGACCGAGGGAAGCGGTTATTGCCCGCACTCGATTCTCGTGAGACCGCGTCTAAGACTTGCGGGCGGTTTTGGGACAGCCGGTGCAGAAAACAGCCGTGAGGGGCGAAGGCAGAGAAAGGTGGAGCAGCTGTCTGGGGTGCGAAGGCTTCTCTGGAGCGGGGTTGGCTCAGCCTGGGGCAGAGGCAGTGTCGGGGGCAGCCCGCAGCGCTGCTGGGATGGGCATCCAGCCTGGCTCTTGACAGAGGTGCGTTGAGAGAGAATGAGGGATGGCCGGCGTGAACGGAGTCCTGACGCGCTCATCCCAGTCTCCTCCGAGGTCCCCGGTCCCGCCTCGCGGGTGGACGTGAACGGGGAACCACACCGCCGTTGTATCGCCCCTCTAGCGGGACACTTCCTTAGTTTCCCCTCTCCGGGACGGTGGGAGCAGTCCCACGGCCGCGCGTGGGCGCGTCCCTGACTTCGCGCAGAGGTTCTCCGCCTTCCCTCTCGTTTTTTTTTCCTCGTAGTCGGTCTGCAGACAGGACTTTCCAATAAGTGGTTCTTGCAAAGCTCTTTGTTCCCTCCCGTGACTCACGCGTTTCCCTGCCGTTATCACGGCGATGTCAGCAGCTTTGAAGTCGAGTCATTTATTACCTTCCCGGAGCTGGCCCTGTCTTGCTCTGCTGATAGACCCGGGTACGTTTCCACTCAGAGTTTGATCTCTGCCCGCGCTGGTGGCACGCTGGAAAGTCACTTTCGATAAACCTCGACAGACTCTGCCGGACAAACTATTGCAGCACTAATGACAGAGATAATCCTCTCCTAATCTGGCGGGTAATCCATTTCACCGCAGTGAGAATTTTTAAGGCTTTAATCAGTGAGAGTCTGTTAGAGAATTATTAACAGAGCCTCCGCTGAGAGAGCTCGTCCGAAAAGGAGCAATGGGAGTGGGAAAGGGAGAACGTAACGGAGCCCGATGAGGTCAAAATCGATGCACGGCCAGGCGCAAGAGCTGATGTGATGTATTTTGATGTTGCAGTAGAACTGAACTGCCTTCGGCCCTAGCGCCCCGAAAAAACCCGCGCCGTCGATTCCCTCTGTGCCCCGCTCTGCTGGCGGCTGGGACTGACGGTCCCGGAAGAGCGGGAAAAGCGCTGCGGGTGAGATGCGCAGGGATGACGCTTCCCGGTGCCGAGAGGGAGGCTGTGTCAAAGCCGAGAGGCGCGCTTCGATAGCGGCTCGCGAGGGGAGGCAACGAGGCGGTCCGGGGCCCCTCGCCCGACGTGCGGGGCCCGCCGGTGCGAGCGGCAGCGGCGGTGCCGGGCGGGGGCTCCGTCGGGTCCCGCCGCTGCCCCCGCCCGTGCGGCGGCGCCGCCCCCGGCCGCGCGCGCTGTGCCCCGGCGGGCGGCCCGGCCCCCCCGGCGCGCCCTGATTGGCTGGCGGCGGCGGCCGGCGGCACGCGCCCGGGGATGTCGTTATAAGACCCCTCGCGTGCCGGCCCGCGGCGCCAGCGGCTCCGGCCCCTCCCCGGAGAGCGGCGGCGGCGGCGGCGGCCCGGCCTCGCCTCCCGCACAGCGCGGCGGGCAGGGCAGGGCAGGGGCGGCCCGGCCTCGCCTCCCGCACAGCGCGGCGGGCAGGGCAGGGCAGGGCACGGCGGGGGCGGCCGCCCCGCCACCGCCGGGGCGGCTCGGCCAGCGGGCCGGCGACAGCGGCTGCGGGCGCGTCCCGGCGGGGCTGCCCCCTTGCCCCGTCCAGTCCGCGCCGGGACCGGGAGCAGCATGGAGACTGTGCTGCTGGAGCACTTCCCCGGGGGGCTGGACTCCTTCTCCTCGCCCCCCTACTTTGACGAGGAGGACTTTTTCTCCGAGCCGCCTCCGCGGGACGTGCTGGGCACGGACGTGTTGCTGGAGCCGGACGTGGATTTCCTCAGCCGGCAGCTGCAGGAGTACTACCGCGACGGCGGCGACCCCGAGGGTGGCTACCGCTGCCCGGCGCCGGCCGCCGCCTTCCCGCCGTCTCCCGCCTCGCCCGGCTTCGCCTACGAATGCTGCGGGGCGGCGGGTGCGGCGCTGCTGTCCCCCGGGGGGCGGCTCCAGGCGCTGGGCTCGGCCAAGCGGCGGCGGCGGGTGCGCTCCGAGGCGGAGCTGCAGCAGCTCCGTCAGGCCGCCAACGTGCGGGAGCGGCGGCGGATGCAATCCATCAACGACGCCTTCGAGGGGCTGCGCTCGCACATCCCCACTCTGCCCTACGAGAAGCGCCTCTCCAAGGTGGACACTCTACGCCTGGCCATCGGCTACATCAACTTCCTCAGCGAACTGGTGCAGTCTGACCTGCCGCTGCGCAGCGCCAGCAGCGAGAGCCCCAGCCAGCCCAAGAAAATCATCATCTGCCACCGCGGCACAAGTAAGTGGTGGGCCGGCACGGCCCGGTACGTCCCGGCACCGCGCTCCGCAGGAATGCCGGCCCCAGCAATAACCCCCTGCCTTCCTTTTCCCTCCTGCCCTCTAGGATCTCCCTCCCCGAGCGACCCCGACTACGGACTCCCCCCTCTGGCCGGTCACTCGCTGTCGTGGACTGATGAAAAGCAGCTCAAGGAACAAAACATCATCCGGACAGCCAAAGTGTGGACCCCTGAGGACCCGCGGAAGGTGAACAACAAACCCTCCGTCAACGACATAGAGAACGAGCCCCCCTTCGACTACGTGGCGTGAGGCGCCGCGCGGGTGGTCTCCGCCCCCGCCTGCTCTGTACATGCTGTATGTAGAGACCTATATTGTAAATGTAATTTAAGATTCAGACTCTAAGGGCAATCAACTTTATTTATCTATTTATTACGGAGTAGTGATAATGAGGTAGAATCGTCTGTTTTGAGTGTATAATTTATATAATTTATCTTGATTTTTTTAAATATATGCAATAGGTTTAATTCCACCAGCACCTTTTTTTTTTTTAATGGGGGAAATATGTCAGAACCTGTGAAAATAATTTATTGCTGCACGTGGATTCTCCTTGTGTTTGTTAATAATAAACCCGAATTGTACATTGAGGAGCAGTGTATTTGTAGGAAGCGGCTTCCGAGAGCCCCGCCACATCCCAAGGAAGACTTACAATGAAAGCCTGGACCGATCTCCAGGCGGGGTGAGCCCCGACACCCAGTGGCACCCTCGGCCCAGATGCTGGCCCCACTCTGCCCCGTCGTTGGCTCGGGCTGCTTTTATAGCGCCTGGGGACAGGGACGGGCGGGGACACACTTTCGCCTTCTCTCCACCCCTTTTGACGTCCTCTCCTGAAGTGCTTCCAACTGATGTCTTTGTCTATCTCTAGAAGGTCCCCTCTTTTCAGTGTCTCAGCACTGCTTGTGGTTTCCAGCTGGAAGATCCGAGCCCCCAAATACAAACCGTGCGAGGGTGCGTGTCCCCCACCTTGTAGCCCCGACCTCGCCACCAGGGGAATGGGTGCGCTCTCCGGAGCCGCACAAAGCTGTTCCTGAAAGTTGCCGAGGAGGGAAGGACGAGGCTGGGGTCCGGGCAGGCTTGGGGCTCTGCCGTCTGCCCGTAGCCTTCCGCGGTTCTCCCATCGGCCGCGCCTGGGAAACAGCCCCCGCACTCCTCGCCTGAGGCTGCCGCTGGGGGCGGGGGGGGATTAGGGGGGATGGCAAAGCCATCGTGCAACTGGTGGTAGAATCGCTTGGTAGCCCCAGCTCAGCTTGCCTGGCTGCGGAAGGGACGGCTGGGCTGCACCTGCCCGGGGCCGAGGAGTGGGGGCGGCAGGGGCCGGTCGGGCCGGGGGCTGCAAGTGCTCCCGGCGGGAACGGGGGGGCGACCCAGGGCCGGGGCGAGGGGCTCGGCCCGACGCCGCAGGTGCTGATTTTCCCGTGGCACCCGCGGCTGAGCCCCGACGGCTCAGCCCCCGGCAGAGTCCCAGATGCCCAGCCCGGCCTGCGGCCGGAGCAGAGCTGTCCCCGCGCGGTGCCCAGGCGGATGGGAACGGCCCGGGTGAGCCAAGGTATAATTATAACTCATCACATACCATACATCTATCCTTCTCCTTCTCCCCCCCCCCGCTTTTTTTTTTTTTTCCAAAACTGCTGCAAAGTGGGAGCAATATGTTGCATGCATGCTAATTGCATTAACCTAGTTAAACACATTTAGTTCCCTAGCGCGGATGGCATGGATCTATTCCAATAGCAATTAGAGGAGCTACTTACACACACAAACACGCCGAGGCTGGGCCGGGGAGGGGGCTGAGTGGGGAGGTCATTGCGTATTTATTTGCTCACTTTTCCTGCGATTCAGGACTGCAGCGGGGCTGACCGGCCGCAAGCCTCGCCCCGTCCCGCGACAGGCGGGCAGTACCGGTGTCATTGAACTTAAACGGCGCTCTTTGAGAGAAAAAGAGCCGACCTATAATTCGATCTTGTCCTGTATTAGGACCTCATTAAACACAGAAAGTCGCTTTTTCACAAATGCTTCCATCAGGCATGTAATCTCATTACACTCATTAGAAAGTCAAATGTTAGTCGGACTTCAGTTTAATTATAAGTTATGGAAGTGTTGTACCGTTTCCTTCTGTGTATAGCCTCGTTCGTCTCAATTGGCTTTGGTGATGCGATCCCCCACAATTAAAACACTACAATCATTGTTATGTGGCACCTTTTCTTTGGCGTGCCACTTTTTTGTGATTCAATGCTTCAACACATCCTTTAGTATGGTGCAGATGAAGCGGAAGAGCCGGCCTTCGCATGTAAAGCACCAGGGTCTCTATCTTGTCACTCTCCCGTCTTGACTTGGCAAGTCCCTTTAAACGCAATCTTCAAAGAGACTGACAGCTCCTTTTGACTGACTCATCATCCATTCACCCCAGCGCCGCGCTCCTGCGACAAAATCCGCCGCACAGAGCAGGAGGGAAGCGCCTGTGCAGGTCTCCCGGCCCAGAGGGTCCCGGCGGGACCCGGCGGCTCCCGCAACGCCGCAGCTTTTGCGGCAGCTTTGGGGGGTTTGCTGGTGGGGAACACGGCTCGGCGCGGTACGGACCAGAGTGGGGAAGGCGTGCCTGACAGCCACGCAACTCCGGCTCCAGCCGCCTGCCCCCTCCTCCCCGCGGCCGTGAGCTGCACCCTCTAGCGCTGTGCCCCGGGGCCCCGTGGGCAGTGTCTCCCCGCCGCCCTGCCCCGCTCCCAGAGCCCCCCACTTTACGCCTGAAACCCCGCTCCGGCTCTTGTGGGTCCATCCCTTCGCGCCCGCACTGCCCCGACGGCGCCCCGGGCGGGGCGGGAGAGGCCCGTCCGGGCCCCGGGACTGTCCCGCCTCCCTCCGCCTCTCCCCGCAGCCCCGCGGGAGCTGGAAAGGAGGGTAGAAGAGAACAAAAAGGAAAGGGGGGAGAAAATCCCCAGCCCCGCTTGGGGTAGGAGGGAATGTTAAAGGCACTTGCAGGCAGTTTGCTTCCCGCAGTCTCACAGGAGGGAGGTGCGGATTGTAGGTGTGCGGGCTGTTGCTGTGCTTCCGGAACCAGCATCACTCTTGATGCTCAAGGTGTAAAGACAACTTAATTATCGAAACCGACAATCCTTCCTTTTAAAAAAACCAAAACAAAAACCCTAAACCACATCAACAAAAAAAAACCCCAACCCGAAAAACCAAAACAACAAACAAAAACCAAAAAACAACAAGACCCCCACCCAAAGGAAGGGAAGCATCAGACCGCTCATCTGCACAGCCAGCAAAAAGATGAGAAGGCGTGCGTGACTTCCCGGCAGAGCTGTGCGCAGGCAGGGGCTGCCGTGGGCACTGTGAACCCGTCCCGCCGCGGTTCCCAGGGCCTCTCATCTGCCGGCAGTCGGGTGAGCGCCCTGCGAGGCGCGGGACGTGAAGCCTCCCGAGCCCGGGATCTCATCCCTCTTTCATTCACGCATCTCTCGCTGGCACCGAGTACCAGCTGCGAGGTCGAACAAACACCAGTTGAGTGTCCCCTGGTAAACCTCCCGCTTTCCAAAGCATCCCGCAGCCGGTGGGAATGGTCCTAAATAACTCCACAACAAACCGCTCTGCCGAGACCTGGAAGCGTGGGCGGGAGGCGATTCCCACGACGGGGCCGGGGTCTGGCCAACAGGTGCTCGGGTTTGGCGGAGGGCGCCGGGGGAGCCCGGGGAGGCAGAGCCTCCGCTGCCAGAAAGCAGCCTGCTCCGGCGCCTCCGGCTTTACATGGCGTGGAAGCCGCAAACAATCGCAATGATATCTTTATTGCTAGGTTCATGTCCTGGGCTATAACATATCAATCCCTGTCGTGGTTCTCTCGGATGCACCTGGTATTTCAAACTTGTTCTTTTTGTGCTTCTGGGTCCTGGACTGCAGCTGCCTAAAGCGAGCAAAGAGAGAGGCCCTTACAATGTGTCCAAGACGTGTTGGCATGGTTTGCTTGTCTTTAATGTACCATTAACTATTGTCTTTACACAATATGGGAACTGTAAAGCATGACATGTGTTATAATAAAACACATTTTCAACGATACACTTGGACTCGGCGCTGGGATGCAAGCAAACAAACAGGCCCAAATCTTGTTTTGTCTCCCTCGCTAAGCCTACTGGCAATTAAACTTAAGACCACTGCTTTCCCCTGATCAGCCAATTAAATTTTATGTCTCCTAATTTTTCACATAGAAAAAAAGTCTCGGTGCCGGCCCCTAAAGACATTGATTTTCTTGCTATCACCTGGCGCTCAGACCTTAGTTCCATTTATCAAGAAGGGAAACGTCAGGCGTTGCATAAAGTGACTCTGTTACCATAAGGCTCTCACCATCCTGCCCTATTGTTTTCCCTTGTTAATAACTCATTACCAGGATTTAACAAATCAACCATTACATATGTTTTGTGTCTCCATATTTTGATCCGTACGATTAAGCAGATGTTACGATTGAAAATTGAAAAGTCCAAGGCTACTCTCGTCTGAAAGAAAGAGGGCAGCCTCAAACAACGAGCTAACAATGAGATTCAGAAGATCTTCAGAAAAACATTTACGACCAATAAACAGACTCCAACCTGCTCCATTTCAACCATTGTGCGCCTTAGGGGAATAATTAGGTTGAATAGGAAGAGGTCCGCGGGGTTTTCAATGCCAAGCCCACAGGTGCGGGGTGGCACGATGAATGATCCGCCTGATTTTTGCCAGGCTCAAGGGCCCTTCTCCTGGCCGGGCGAGCAGATACGAAATATTGTCATTTCTTTTAATTCACAGCGTTACTCTCAGGGCGAACAAAGGGGCGGGGGATGAATGGCTCCGGCTGCAGGCAAGGCGCGCCCGGCCGCCGCTGGCCTCTCCGGCGACCGCCCGGCGGGGACGAGCGCGCCGCCACCGCCGCCGCGCCCGGGGCCGGTCCCGGCGGGCTCGGGGGGGTGCCCGTGCCCCCCGCGCCGCCGCGCGCCCCCCGCGCCGTTCCCCTCGCGCGGCCGCCCCGGGCCCGCGCCGCCCCCGCGCCCCGCGCCGCCGCGCGCCCCCCGCGCCGTTCCCCTCGCGCGGCCGCCCCGGGCCCGCGCCGCCCCCGCGCCCCGCGCCGCCGCGCGCCTCGCCGCGGGCCGGACCCCGCGCGGGCGCACGTGCGCCCCGCCGCTCCCCGCGCCGCCGCCGAGGCCGGGAGGGGCCGGGCGGGGCGGCCCCGGGCCGGGGGCGGCTCCCAGCCGCGGCCCCCGGTGCGGACCCGCCGCCGTCGGGGCTCCGGCGAGCGGCAGCGGGCGGCGGCAGCGGGGCTCTCCCGCCCGGCGGCCCGCGTTGCGCATGGAGGTCTCCAAGAGGGGGCCCGTCTGTCGGGCTCCCCCGCGGGCGAGGGCGGCGCCGCCGCTGTGCGGTGGCAGCGCCGTGGGCGGCCCCGGGGGGGGCTCCGCGAGGAGCCGTCGCGTCGCGCCGCGGGGCCACGTCTGGCGGCGGCCACGCCGGAAGGAG